GGGGTCCTCCCGCCGCGGTCTCCCGGGGCCTCCCCTGCCGCCGGCAGCAGCCGCGCCTCCGCCCGGCCGCTCCTCACGGCAGCCTCTGGGGCTGACTCTCGGCGCCCACCGGCGCTCCCTTGCCCGCCACGGTACTCTCACCGGCCAGCAACCGCCGCTCCCCCAGCTGCCAGGAGCTGCACCGCCAAGCGCGCTTGGTGGCTCTGCGTTTAGTTTCCCTCACGGCAGCCCTGGCCCAGACCCTGGTCGCCAGCGGCGGGGCGGACTGGTAGAACCGACCCCGCGGCAGCACCAGTACAAGCGGGGGAGCTCGCCTCGCCACGCAGCCGCTCGCGGGGCTGAGGAGGCCGCGCTCCCAGCCCAGCCGCGCCCATCAGGCGCGCATAAGCCACCCCTACCGCCTCCTTCTGGGTCCGGCTCTGGAAAGGACACCCCCACGCGCGGCTCCGCCCCGGGCACGAAGGACCCCTGCGCCGCCTTATGATTGGCTGCGGGCAGGTCCTACTTCCTTTTCTCGCTCGCTGGCAGGGAGGCCTCCACCAAGATGGTGAGTGCCTGCTAAGGGTGTGCGGCAAATCCGCCCTGTGCTGCTGCCATCCCGCCCCCGCGGGGCTCCCCAGCTGCCGGGCTGGCCTGCCTGTAGCGGGCTACGGGGGTATGGTGGAAACTGAGCGGGCGCTTGTCATCCCGCTTTGGGCCGGGGCTCCTGCGGCCTGGCCATGGCGGGTCGGTACCGGTTGGTGGCGGCGAGCTGTGGGCCGCGGCATATGTTTGGCCTGCTGCGTCTCCGTGCTGCTGGTTGGTAAGAGCAGTGCTGGGCTGTGGCAGTAGTGTAACGTTGCACTTCTGAAGGCGTTAAAGGGGCGTTGTAGGTCCTACTCGGTATTAATCTTATAGTTCTTTGAAAGTGTTAAGGCAACAGTAACGTGTAGGTGTTTTAAGGAAACTTCTGCATTAAAGAATTGGTAACGTTCAGGTTTGTTAAGGAAGCTTTTTTCGTATTGTTGTAGTGTTTGGGCTTGTAGTCTATGTGTTTCATTGAAAGCTGTTTCATGTTTTCAGAATGATACAAGTATGTATGTTGCTGTGTTGTTTGGAAGCTGGGAATGAGTCTGTCAGTTTTTTGGTCTACTTTAGAGGTGTTTTCTGTAGCGCGGGAGCAGGCCACTTTGATACTGATAGTGAACTCATAATCTGAGAGACGAGTGACTGTTGCTGTCTTGGGCGTTATTTATATGCATATTAATATCAAATTGCATGTAAGGCTGTTATTTTGTTTTACTCTGTATCTTCTCTTGCAGAATGACACAGTGACCATCAGAACCAGGAAGTTCATGACAAACAGGCTGCTTCAGCGCAAGCAGATGGTAAAAGAATACAGAAAATTCCCTTTAATTATTTCTCTGTTGGTTCTGGGCTGCAAGTGTTTTTTATCCACTATAAATAAGGGGCCCTTAAACCCTCCAGAGCTCTTATTGTAAGAACTTACAGGCTTAATTGTGTTGATGCATGTTGAAGGTAAATCTTGGTAGTGAAGTTGTGAGCTGTTTTGTCCAACTTGCGCCAGGGGAGGTTTAGATTGGATATTGGGAAAAATTTCCTCACACAAAAGGTTGTCAAGCCCTGGAACAGGCTGCCCAGGGAAGTGGTTGAGTCACCATCCCTGAAGGTATTTAAAAGGTGTGTAGATGTGGCACTAAGGGACATGGTGTAGTGGTGGGCTTGGCAGTGTTAGGTTTACGGTTGGATTCAATGATCTTAAAGGTCTTTTCCAACCTAAATGATTCTATGAAGCAGAACACTTACAAACATTTTTGTATCAAAGTAATACTACTTTTTACTGCTAAGGTGTGTTAGTTTAAGTGTTAAGGTCATAGTGGGACTGTAGCACCTTGCTGTTGTACTGGATATTGACCTTTATACAATTTGTAAAAATTTCTTCTTAGGTGATTGATGTTCTTCATCCTGGGAAGGCCACAGTCCCCAAAACAGAAATCAGGGAAAAGCTGGCAAAAATGTACAAGACAACTCCTGATGTAATTTTCGTCTTTGGCTTCAGAACTCACTTCGGTGGTGGCAAGACAACAGGTTTTGGCATGATCTATGATTCCCTGGACTATGCAAAGAAAAATGAACCCAAACACAGGCTTGCCAGGGTAAGTTGTTTTCCAGTAACTAGAAAACAATTTAAATGGATTTGAAGTCTTTAGTTATTTATGACTTATGGGTGTAAAGCTAAAGTTTTGTGAAAGTACTGTTGGTGTACTCAGAGTTACATAAGAGGTCTTAAAACAGCATAGGTTAGCTTCTGCATTTGCGAAATAGCGTAAGTTTTTTTTATTGTATGTTACAGGGGACTTGGGAAAGCAAAACTGATGTTACCAGTTGATGTTTAGCAGTAATAGATAACTAACTGCTATTAAAGGTCTTGAAGAGGCATAAGAGATGGGGCTGATCCTTATGCTACTTTAGTGCTTATTTTCTGTGTTGAATGATTTATTAGTGAACTTGTCTTACTATTTAGCTAATATTTCAAATTTAAACAGTATTTGAAGAGTCTAGAAGTAGTAGAACTTAAATTCAGAGTTACTATCAGTGAAACGATGTTAAATGCAACTTTTAACTTTTTTAACAGCATGGCTTGTATGAAAAGAAGAAGACTTCTAGGAAGCAGCGAAAGGAGCGTAAGAACAGAATGAAGAAAGTCAGGGGTACAGCCAAGGCAAATGTTGGTGCCGGCAAGAAGGTAGGATGGGAGTAGTTGTAAGCTAGCACTCTAGTATGTTGCCTTAGAAATGTTGATTAGAAGTTCTTCAGCAGGATAACACTGTTTTTCTTCCATTTCTTTCACCTGGTCTGTTGGATAACAGAAGGTAATCTGTGTGGTGTCATATAGCTTATCAGCTGAGTAGTTTAGTTTTGCTCCTCACTGCTGCAAGCTTAGCTGATACAACATGAAACAATGCTTCTTAAATAATTGTTTCCTACATTTCACTTAAACTACAGTTAAACTTTCATAAACCTAACAGTATCGTTCTAATTGCATAACTCAGTATTGTGCTAATTGTGTAACTTGATATTGCAATATACAAATTAGATCATCTTAACACTTGATACTCAGACTGCCTAAATATCTAATGCTTACTCCACCAAGTTACTGTTATTTATGGTGTTATTAATAAAGGAGGCTTTGTTAAAGATGTGTGGTGGTGTAGGCAGTGAGGACAGTGTGTAAATAGAAATAAACCCACGGTAAAGCAGGCATTTTACCTTAAGTGACTGATTTCCAAGATAGTTGAGTTTTCCCCTGGTGGTAGCTTCCTGTTCTGTGGCTTGAACTTGATACAAGCAGCATGGAGGGAGGCAGAGTTCCTCTATCATGAAACAAAAAAAAACCCCACCAAAACTGAGGAATAGCTTGGGTGTGAAGACAGTCATCTTCCTTAGCAGCTTTTTGTCCTCTGAAAAATACCAAGTAAGCTGTACAGCTAAGTGGGTTTTTTCAAGTGTTTTAATGAGGGGAGAGAGGGTGATGGGTTTTGATGCTTATTTCTGTAGCTGCTAAAGTGCCTTGACTTCAACTTTAGTAATCTTCACTTTTGCTTTTTTTTCTACTTTCTTGGAATTCTCCATCAGAAATGAAGTATCTAGCAGGTACTGAAAACGAGCATGGATGTGTTGACTGAATTATACATCACTGAAACATGTGTCCATCCTTTTAATTGAAGCACTGTACTGCCTTGCATAATGCACGTTTGCTTTAAACTTGCTTCTGTCCTGTAAGGGTTCAGATAACTACATAATGAACTTTATTCTGTGTGACTTGGAAATAAAATTTGGCTAACAGCGAACAAGACTTTTTGAGACTAATGAAACAACATTAAAATAAGGAATTCCCAGTGAGAAGAAATCTAAGAAAGTCAGTGCCATTGGTTTGAGGCATTGGTTCAGAACACCCCAGGTTCTGATTCAAAGTATTACAGTGCAATTGCATGTGTTATTTGACCTTTGTGTGAAAGTAGTTGTGTATCTTTATGAAAACTAAGTCACATCACAGCTTAGTGCATTTCAGACGGTAGTTGGAAATGACACAGTTGTCAGCATTAAACTGTATTTAACTATTGGCCTGCAGTATTCCAAGTTCAGACATGAATTACAGTGAAATTAGAAATCTTTGTGAAATTAAATTATTGACTTAGTGCATAAGTGAAATTCTTGTTATCACTGGATGGAAATAAACCAGTGTTGCTGCTAACTACTAGATGAGAGAACTACTCTACTAGATAAGGTTCGGAGCCTTTTTTGGTTCTGCTTTAATGCTGTTTTAATCATGAGGTCCTACAATTGTTTACAGTGTAACAGCACAAATTAGCATTTGGTATAGTAGTAACACTAACATACACCCTCTTGTCAATGTCAAGGGAGTCATTTAGTGTTGCACTGATACCAGTAGTATGGATGAACTCAAGAATTTTGCACTTGAAGGTAGCTGTTGTTGAGTGTTAATGCAAAATGGTTAAATGACTGTCACGTGAATTACTAAAGCTGTCCAGTTCATAGAAGTTGTCTTAAAATATATAAGCACTTTAGAAATTTAAGACCAGGATAGTGTGCTGTGATCATTATATAGCAGATGTGACTTCTGTATCAAGTGCTTCCCAAACTAACATGCAATCTCAGTAGTAGGTGAACTGTGTTTTTGATTAGAGGTTTTTTAATGTATTTTAAAATGATCTTTTAGTTGATATGTATGCATGGGTTAGACTTTATTTGTTTACCAGTTAATCTTTGTGTTCTCACGTTAAACTTAAAGACAAATTAATTTACATTGATTGAGAAGCGTTCTTCGCTGCATCACAGAAAAAAGCTTGTGGAATACACTTGTGTCTTAAAGCTTTGTCTTGAAAAATGCATGTTTAAACATAATGGTGTGGTATGGTTCATAATCCTTTTATCACGGCCGTGTGGAGGAATTTTTAATAGGAGTCCTGGAACACTTTTGGAGTCCACTTAAACAATCTGTGAAAACTGTTTATCTCAAATGTGTAGGCACTTGATTCCGAGACATCTTCAGGCAAGTCCATATTTCTGTAAGAGTTATGTACCACATAGTCATGAAAACTATTGAAATGGTGAATCATACTTAAATAGTTTTTCTTGAACTTTAAAGTCAGACATGAACTGTGCTGATGTCTGACTGTTAAAAGTTTTCTTTGATGCTTCCTTTCACTTCTCACTCCTTCAGAATTCCCATTCTGTTTTCTCTGCAGTTTCCAGAGAAGTATTTTGAAGTAGTTTGTGTTATTTAATATATTCAGTATCTCTATAGTTTGCTGAGCTTGCATGGAAGTTTGCAACAAGTAGATGAGGAAGTCCTTCAACTAGTGTTTGCATTCAGAGCAGTGGCCCATATACCCTGGGATATTAAAATGCAAAAAAAAACCCACCCTACATCTTAATGTCACAACTGTAGCTGTGACAGCCTTTGACATGTGAGCCTTCCAAACAAATGTTTTTGGTTTTTTTTTTAAAAGTATCAAACAGAAGTGTGGCAGGATAGGCACTTTAAGCCATTGTAGCCTGAAGGTATAATTGAACATGCAATTGCATTCCGAGTATTACTTAAGCCCTGAACAGCTATTGTTAGGTCCCATTTTGAGTTTGAGAGAATGTGTGAAATCTCAGTCTTCAGCCTCTACAGTAGTCAGAACTTTGGGGTTTTCCTGTCACATTTCACTGTGGTAATTGACAAAAGCATATTATGAATGTCAGTAAAAAGCCTGAAAGCTCCATCTTCTACAGTAGTAGAACTTTGATAAAACTATTAATAAATGCTTTTTCTTTTTCAGTAAATGAACATACTTCAGATGGAAAATGCATAACAGGTATGACTTTAGAATGCTTTGTAATGGTAGACATTCAGTAGTCTGTAGTCATTATGACGACACAGGTCTAATATTGATTTATGCAAAGCATGGTAGTTGTGCTGATATAGAATACAGTGCAAGAGTTTAAGACTAAGAAAGACTTAAATATTTATAAAGCACTGTTGTGCTTACTACTGAGTTGATAATTTATGTGCCTTCCACTTACATGAAGCACCTGATTAGTATAAAGACTGCAATAAAAAATCAGGCAGTTAGGATTTGCTCTTGCTGAAACTGTTGATTATTTAGTCTTACTGTAAACAAGGCTTACATCTGCCTTTTGTAGATACAAGGAGAGGATAATAGGCCTTGTTTTTTATTGTCTTAAATAGATTGAAGTAGTATGATTTCTATTTTGAGGACAAATTTCTGTATTTTTCTTATAGATACTAATTTCAAGTAAATTTCTTATAAGCAAGCCTGATATTCTTTTAGACAAGTCCTAGACTATATTTTTATATCTTTGTTGCAGAAACGTGAGTTAGATATACTGTAGGCAGCAACTGTTACAGATAAAACTGTGGTTTTATTACGAATGGTCTGAATGACTCAGTTTAAAGCAACTTAAACAGTCTGTCTGGGAGCTGATGTAGTAAGTATAATGTCTTAAACAGAAAGCTGGCAAAGTAATTGTAGTTTGTTGAGCTCTTCTACAGAAATGCTGTAATCTAGGCTCTCATTTATTCCCATGACAGTACTGTGAAGTTGTGAACCTTGTGTTCTTCTAAGAAAGGCAGTGTGGTTCACCTGAGTTGTTTGGGAGCCAGTTTTTCAGGCTCTATAAAGGTATGAGTGTAAAAATTGTTTTAATCATGTGGCACTGATCTATTTTTTCCTTTACAGACTACATTATTCTGTGAAGAAATATAGAAAGAATTATTCCAGAAAGAAGCTGCTTATCTGCCTTTAACATCAAATAAACTATGTCAATAAAATGTTGGTTTACCCTTTAGTTTTGATTTGAAAGCTACCATTTTGTAAAGTTTGAGAAATTCAAGATCAGTGCACTGTTTGCACTGTATTAAAATCTTTTAATAATGAAACAACTCTTGTTTTGGGTATCAATTTGAAGTGAATCAGAGCTTTCTACAGGTCGTAGTATAACCTAATGGTAAGCAGAGGCAGTGTTAGTTCATGCAGGAAGGTATGCTTTTGTTGTTTGGTGTTCAAACTGTGGTTTGGAAAGTCCTTTTTAAGATGTGCTTGTTTGACTGCCTATATTATATAGACCTATAGAACGTAGCTGAAGGGACAACAAAACATGTAGATGGAGATCTGAGAGCTGCATACTTCCACAGTTTTTTGCTCATGAAGGAGTTAGGTATGACTTGTCTTTAGTTCCTCAGTTGTCAGGACAGGCGCTGGGGTCTGTTGCTGGTCTGCAAACTATACAGTACACCCCTATTTTTTCATCTGGTAGTGTTAAAGGAGTCATTTAAGATTGGATTAGTGGCTGGATGAGGCATGCTCTGTGCTAGAAGTGTGGTCATTCTGGTGCAGGTGTATTGTGTAGCAAGCAAAATAGAAGTTTTATACTTCAAATAGGACTGAAACAAACTGGGCAGCTCTAGCAGCTGTGCTGATGAAGGCTCTGACTTGATTATTATCCAAGTACAGTATTTTTAAATTTTACTACCTTTGTACTAAGGCAGCATATTGTAACACAGGTAAGGCATTTTTAGTGTTTGGGGGGGGAAACCAACAACCCTATAGTTAAAGTTGGTAAAGTGGTCAGAAGGAGGGATACTGTTGTCCTAGTAACTTCCATACAAGATCTGCTAAATATAGATAAAGCAGATAATGCCTTTTCTAATACCTTCAGTCTGAGTCTTGAACTAGTGGGGTTGCTGTTGTCTGCGTTCAGCAGCATCATGCTTCTAGCTGTACTGTAAATTTTCTGTACCTCATGCTGTAGTGTTTCTGCCTTTATTGAGGTTAGTAACTAGGACTGGTAGGGAATTGCCCTGGTGAAAGGATAGGTAGGTACTCCAGTATCTTCTAAACATAGGTGCACTAGTGATGTTAGACTAAGGGGATGGTGAAATGCAGTAATCGATTCTAAAATATTAGTTTTGATTCTTAAGTCCTGTGGAAGTTAAAAGGCTTTTCTACTTGGCAGACAGACCTTCAAAGGTAGGTACTTTCTGGATGTTCTTCCCAAAGGTTTCAGTGTTAAATTCTGAAGAATCGCTGGAGGGGTATTAAAAGTGGGATTTGTGTACTTAAATACAGTACGTGCACTGAACTCTTGAGTCTGTAGATATGTTTTGAGTAGGTGACAGTAAATTTCTGACAACCGCAAAGGTTTTAAG